TCTTGCGTTTGACACAGGGTCTTGTTGTGCCATCGAGCATCTCACTGGATTTTACTGTGAAGTACAGAGACTGTATTTTCTCGTGTGAAGTACAGAGACTGTGTATTTCACAGGCAAACGCAGCAGCCAATTTGCACACAGCAACGTCCCCACAAAGAGCCAAAAATCGCCTGACCTATTTTATCTGGGCGATTGTCAGCCAGGACCCCGGGAGGGAAAAACTCCCTTCTGTTTTCAAGTCGTGCCACTGGATTTTTAACATCCCCTAAACAGGCAAAGACGGGACCTCAGTTTATCTTCTCATCTGAAGAACAGGGTCTCTGATAATTCAGCAACACTGCCATGGAGAGGCAGCTTAGACTCTATAAGGTCCCGTCTTCTCTCAAGACTGGAGACCCCTCGCTTGTCTAAATCGTTGGGTCAGGCTCTAGCATTGGGGAATCATCCCCACGGCTCTCCTACACGAGACACTCTATCGGCACGCAGGGCTTCATCAAAACTCGTCTCTACTCAGCAAGCGCTCAGCAAGGTTTGACGATTGGAATCAGCTGACTGTGCAACACCTGCCCACAGAGCAGAGTCACTATAGTCATCGGGTCAGCCAGCCATCCCGAGAGACATTGGCTGGCTTTGCCAATGAGCAAAGCTCGATCCACTCCATCCTCCCGGGTGGGAATACCGTTACTGAGTGAGAGTGTTAATATCTCCGAATCGGGGCAGGGGGCAATCGGGGTTGGGGGAGTGGGGGGCGGGGAGGGGAGGGGAGGGGGTGGGAATGAAACTCTCTGAAGCTCAATGCCACCCACCAAATTGACTCAGACAGCACGGGACTGAATGCGACTCAGACTGGGGGATTCCTGGTCGGGTCTCCAAAACCGTCGATGCCTCAAGTTGATCTTTCCAGAATCTTTAACATCCACCTGGCCAGGCAAAGACAGGGCCCTGGTTTAACAGCTTCAGTGTTTAAGCGCCTCGCAATGCCATGTATCATATAAGGGCACAGTATAAATGCAACTTCTTGTAAACACACCAAATTGCAACGGTCTATAAAAAAAATCTTAAATTCAAAACCAAGAAAAAAATAAGCCACTTACTTATAAGTTTATCTGGAGAGAAAAAAAAATCCTCCTCTACAGCAGTCTTACAAAATGATTTTATATGTAAAAAAATAATAAAACTCTTAACGATTGGCCCGTCTCCAGCGACTGTTTCGCTGTTTCTTTATCAGCCGCTGCAAAGCTCCAGTTTGGACGTAACTCTCTCTATCCATCCACACAACAATGTGGCTAAGATCACAGCAGATCGCTCTGCACAATGGAGACATCTGTCTCTGGAATTTTTCAAACTCAGAACGCCTCCGGTTCAGGAACAGACGAGAGTTGACCAAATTACACTCTGGGGCCTCAATGATTCATTCGCCTGCAAACGTACCGTCGCTACCCGACACGCAACTCTGTGAGGCGCTTTGAGATCCTTCTCCCTACGGCCACCCCACCGCCCGCGACCCCCCCCACCCCCTTCCACCCCGCTCCCCCCAATTTCTCCCCTCCCTCAACATCCAAATCCGTCACCGCCCAGCCTCCGAGATGCTATCCTGCCTGAAGGGCGCCGCTGTTGGCGTTGGTACGTGCTAAGGAGCTGTAGCAAAATGCAAGGGTTACTATTATAATTTATTATTGATAACCCTTATTTCGTTGGTTTAACGGCTCACACCGACGATTTTTGCACCGTTCTGTTCTGTGCAGACATATCAGTAGACACAAGGTACATATCTTGCTGCAGCCTAAATTTCCCATTCTTTCTTCCTGCAAAGCGCAGCGAGAATAGTTGTATTTGAATAATTTTCCCTAGTAATATACATATATAGATAGTATATATGTGCATTTACATATAGATATATAGATATAATGTAACCATAGTCTGGATTATTTCTCAACAGGTGCATTTTAAATCGTTTTGTGCGAGTGTGTTTAACAGCTACCCATTTCTCTATCTCTGCTTACCTCGGTCTTCTCCTATCCCTTTTTATTACTTCGTCAATGATGTTTCAAACCCCCGCTGCTTTAACTTTTCGCTCCTGTTCTGATCTCTTCCCCCACTCCCCTCCCCCTTTCCCCATTCCCCCCTGAGCCCAATCATTTTAATTGAACTTCATCTCATTAAATCCCATTTGCCAGCTCCCTTACTGTGAAGTTCTTTGATGTTTTAACCTGGGTGTATTCTTGCTTGCTAATAACACTAACTCTCACCCTCCTTCCTATCTCCTAACTTTCTCTCCCCTTTATTGTCCCCCCCACTGGCTCTTTTGCATTTACTTTCCCTCCCCCTGCTCGGTGTTGTCTCTCTCCTCCTCTCTCTCTCTCTCTCTGATTCATTCTCCCTTCCACCGAAATGTATTTGATTACAATAACAATAATACTAATAAAAATAATAATCCTTGCATTTGATATAGCACCTTAGCACATCATTGAGATGTCTCAAACGCTTCACAGGATATGCTGTAAAGTGGAGTGACTGTGTATTTTGTGGGCGAAACGCGGCAGCCAGTTGCGCACAGCAGCGTCCCCAAAAATGCCATAAAGTGAGTGACCAATTTTATTTGGGGGATTATTGGCCGGGACACACAGGGAGAAACTCAAGTCCCTTATCGAACGGGATCCCTAACATCCACCTGAATATGCAGACAGGACCTCGGTTTAACATCCCATCCAAAGGACGGCACCTCCGACAACACAGCACACCCCCAGGCCTGTACTGGACTGTCAGCTCAGACTGTGTGATTCCAAGTCCTGACGTGGGGCTTGAACCCACAACCTTCTGACTCAGAGGCTGAAAGCGCTACCACTGAGCCAGGCTGTCAAGCCATTTCTCTTATGGACCTCTCCCTTGGTACTGTGAACCACACGCCCGAAAAAAGACCTGTAAATGGGTTTGACCATCTCCCCCAAAAAGCAGAGGTGTGCGTATGTGTGTTAATGTGTGAGTGTGTGTGTGGGGGGGGGGGGGGGGAGGGGGTTTGGGGGAGTTGGGGGGGGGGGGGAGTTGGGAGGGAACAGTAGGAGAACCAAGCAACTGGGAATGTGCCAAAGCCAATTTAACCAACAGGTTTTCACATCAACCTTCAGTTCTGCTTGGTGTCCGGTTCACCCAATGCATATCACACAATCCTATTTGCTTGTTGGAACTGTTCCCTATTTCTGCCGTGGATCCGCTAATGCAACAGCGCAGATGAAGAGAAATATGACAGCAAAGAATCTGGGTTCCTTTCCCCCGCCACCCACTCTCCCCCCTCCACTCCACCCACCCTCCCCCCAACCACAATCCCCCCCCCCCCCACCCTCCCCCCAAAGAACTCAGAGACTTTCGCTTGCTTTAAATTCAGCTTTTAGGACATTTGGGGTTTGCTTGTATTGCTCTCTGTGTGCGCTATATATCAACTTCGAAATAATCTGCCCCCTCTGCTCTGTCACTGAAAGAGACAACCAAGCAGGCAGGCAGATATTAATACAGATACAGATAAGCTACCCATAAGGTCAGACAGACAAAAGCACAACTCCTGCAGCCGAACTTAAAATCCTTTTGCCTGGCTATACATTGGGGGTGAAATATGGCGATGGGAGATTAATTTTTGTTGTATGCTTTGCAGCCTATCCAATAAAATTACCAAATGGGGTTATTGATCCGGGATAGATGTTCAGCCATATATATATATTTTCTGGTTCCATTTCATTGCAAGTGACAATAAAAGAAAAATGAATGACAGGGAACAAGTGATGGATGGCACATTGGAAGCATTAATATGTTCAATTATTTTACCAAGTTTATTTGCCAATGCTAAACGTTCGATGTGGAAGCGGTTTTATTTATTGTTTCGGAGAAGTCGTTTTTTTTTCGCAACTAAAAAACATTAGATAGATCTTATATTTTAAAATAACAAACCCTGGTTAGCGTTGGAATCACAATTTAATTGCACTACATATATTAGATGGATAGATAGATGGATAGATGGATAGATAGATAGATAGATAGATAGATAGATAGATAGATAGATAAATAGATAGATAGATAGATAGATAGATAGATAGATAGATAGATAGATAGATAGATAGATAGATAGATAGATAGATAGATAGATAGATAGATAGATAGATAGATAGATAGATAGATAGATAGATAGATAGAGAGAGAGAGAGAGAGAGAGAGAGAGAGAGAGAGAGACAGACAGACAGACAGACAGACAGACATTAAATTATTTTTTAAAAGAAATTGCAAGCGACTGACATTGACAGTGACATAATCTATAAGGGAAAGGGAAAATGGGGGGTGGGGGGGGGGTGAAGGGGGTAAATCCGCAGTTACCTCTTGTTTTAACTGGGGAGGGGGAATATTAATGTACAAATGTTTGAGAACCACATTCAGTCGTGTCGATTTCCCAAATACGTTTCATTGCATTTTATTTAGGGACTGGCTTGTGAGTTAACTTTTATATCTACTGTATATATATATATATATATAGAGAGAGAGAGAGAGTTAAACATTTTTTTAATACAACACATAGCGACAGAGCAGTTTAAATAAAGATTATTTTAAAAGATACTAATTATCTTTTAAAAGATCATTGTGAAATGCAATATACCTCCATGTGTGTACGTGTATTATATATATATACACACATTAAAATATATATTGAGATATATTGCATTTCACAAGCAAATGGGGGTGTCTGGAAAAGCTCACTGCGCACTGTATGTCAGTGCAGCTACACATCCAGTGTGTGTGTGTGTGTACTGTACTCTACAACTATCGATCCATTCAAAGTTATCAACATCGATTATTAGAAAAAGGCATTTTAAAGTGATTGAATTCCTCCCCTCCATCTCTCTCTCTCTCTCTCTATCTCTTCATCTCCTTTTCCTCTCTCCCCCTCTCCCCCCTCTCTCCCTCTCTCTCTCTCTCTCTCTCCCTTTCCCCCCTCTCCCCCTTTCTCCCCACACTCTTACCTTTATTATCAGATCCAAGCCACCAAGCTTCCCAGGTCTCTACTTAAGCCACTGGTGGAGAGAAACCAGGCACATCTTGGTCCATCCTTTGCCCAAACGGGCTGCCAAGCGCATTCTAGCTGGGGAGTCAGCGAATGGTAATCCTGGGGAAGGTGGTGGTGGAAGGGGGTTGGGGATGGGGGGGGGGGGGGGGGAGGTGGGGGGTGATGGAGAGATAGAGAGATAGAGAGATGGAGAGAGAGAGAGAGAGAGAGATGGAGTGGGGGTGTGCAGAGAACTTAGGAACTCACTCTTATCTGTTTCACCTCAGATTAAACCTCCTGCGTGTGTCCACCGTTCAAATCCATGGCATTGGGAAAATCCATCTCAAATGCAAAAGGACTGTTATAGGAATCCATCCTCGTTTTTCTCCCTCCCTCCCTCCTCCCCACCCACCCTCCACCACCCCCTTCTCTCTCCCTCTCCTCTCCTCTCCCCATCAAAACCAGCTCTCCCTAAAATGCACATGTGAGACTGTCTGTCTTGGAGGTGGGGAGGGAGGGAGAGAGAGAGGGAGAGAGGGAGAGAGAGAGAGAGAGAGAGAGTGGGGTAAAATAAGGACTAGTTATTGCATGTGTGATTGCATGACTTCACACACACACATGCACACACACACAACGCACACACAACATGCACACACGAGATCCTAGTTGCAACCACGAGATGGTTCACTTGCTTGACTTAGAGGAGTCTTTGCTCAGTCGTTGTCTGCCTCTCTCGATTGCTGTCAGAGCTTTTGCTGTAAGAGCTATCTGTGTGTGTGTGTGTGTCTCTCTCTGTGTGTGTGTGTGTGTGTGTCTGTCTGTGTCTTTCCCTTTCTCTCTCTCTCTCTCTCTCCCACTCAGTCTCTCTCTAGGGTTTGCAATGAGTGAGTGAGTGAGTGAGTGAGTGAGTGAGTTTGGACAGTGTCTGTCTGGCTCTTTGGGTGAGTGACAGAGAGAAAGCTTTTTTTATTCCCTGTCCAGTTAGTTACCTGATCCTACAGCATGTACATCAGATCATATCTCCCAGCACTGCGCATGTACCACACCTCCTTTAATGGGGAGGTTGCAGAGAAGTTGCTCAGATCAGATAAACTAACTACCAAACTGACTGGTTACATATGTCCCAGGGAGGGAGAAGCCTCACTGGCTCCAGCTTCGCTCTGATCCTGTGCGCGTCTCTCGGGCATCGGCCGTGTATTTTGTGGGCGAAACGCGGCGGTCAATTGGGCGGGTGGTGGGTGGGTGTGGGGGTGGTGGGTCCCACAAACAGTCGTGGATGGGGTGACCGAATTCTTTTTATTTTGTTATTGAAGGGGTGACCTTTGAGCTGAGACTCGAGGACGGATAGAGAATGCGAGGGCGGGACCGAGAGGATCAAGGGAGAGATCACCAAAGGTTGCGGCTAAGGACGGGTGTAGGGTACTTACGGCGACAACTTGCATTTGCATAGCGCCCTTTCGCACAGGATAGCGCCTCGGAACGCATAAGACCAATTATAACGCCTGCTGTCATACAACAACAACAACAAAATGACATTTATAGAGTGCCTTTCACGTCCCACTACGCCTCCACATTTTATTTTGATCGCAATTGGTAAGAAACCTCGCAGCTTCAATCCCGTGAAGCGCTCTGAGATGACACGATAAGGCGCTATGTCAAATGGAAGGGTAATTATTATTAATAACTCGAGTGGCGAACTATTAAACAGAACTTAGATCGCGTTCATGTACGGCGTTACGTTCACATGATTTAATTTGACTCTCGTACAAACATTTAAAGATCTCCAAAAATTGTAGTGTATTCTTAGATACGATTCCCAATAGCAAACAGAATACTTACTCTTGTGTTATCTGAGCGAGGAGGCATTATATTATGATAAAGCTCCACGTGCTATAAATACTGTATACACACCAGGCTCAACCGATACAGGTAAAATTACATTGCTACGTATCAGCTGATACTCATGATGAAGATTGTAATTGTTTGACGCTCGAATATGAGAGCTCCGGGGTGACTAAACTGTGCCTCTGATTCCTACTTCAACGTAAAATATATTGGAATGCTCGTTGAAAGCAAACCACTCTACTGCCTTGCACATCACGCTCACACACAGAGTATAATAAATAGATTGCAAGCAACTATCTCTCCACCCTGATCTGCCGAGGGCGCAAAGGAGCCCCTCTACAAACCGATGCGTCACCCAATCCAACAACCCGTGCCTCGATCACACCTTGCTTAACGGCACACATGTAATCCAACTCAAACTGGGGAGTCCCATAGTGTAGTGGTTAGAGCACAAGCCTCGCAAGCGAGAGGACTCAGGTTCGATTCCCGGCCAAGGCGAAGCCTCAAGCTAAGTTTTCAACAGCTTCAACAGTTTTCTATATTACTTTTTTCATGCCCATCGGAAATTTGAACCACCTCTAATAAGCCCCACCAACCAACTTTGAGGTCCATCCAGTTTCGCCTTCCACCATCCTGGCAGTCACTTGACATGTCATGTCCCAAACTATATACTCTATCCCACGATATGATTTCCTAAAATAAATCTATCTAATTACTTCCTGGTGCCTGCCCTAACCCTTCACAAGCTCTGAAATCGCACACTCAAGGGCAGAGCTTGTGGAGTTCCATCTCACAGCGCAATCATCTGTGCGGCTACAGAACAGGAAGAATCTCTTAAGGTTCACCAGTTCATTTCTCATCCGTTAAATTCTTTCATATTTCTCGTCTCTTTGCTCACTCGCTGTCTGAACGAAAAGTGAAGGAGACCCTCAACACCTTTCAACTTTTGGTGGAACGTTTTCCACGGAACAGTTTTTTTGGAGGGATGACACAATACAAGATAATTGTTGCTTTTTCAATAAAAAACAACTTATATCATTGAGCACCTTTTTAAAACACAGTAACGTGTGAGCGAATTCTGCATACCTCATTATTCCCACAATAACAATTAACATCAATACAGCGCCTTTCACGCTGGCAGAACATCTCAAGCTGACAGGTCCCCGAGCTGGGAGAAGATGAGTTTTGAGGAAACCAAAAGCCTGGTAAAAGAAATAGGTCGCTGATTGTCCAGCGCCTTGGGACATCTTCCCGACGTGAAAGGCGTTATCCAAATGTAATTCTGTGGTTGTCGTTGTCTTAAGGAGGATTTTGAAAGTGGGGAGGGGAGGGGATCAGGTGGAGGGACTCTGGGTGGATAGATGGATAGAGGGATGGAGGGGCGGATGGAGGGATGGAGATCTGGATGGAGAGATGGAACAACAACAACAAATTACACTCACATAGCGCCCTTCTCGTCGGAAAGACATCCCAGGATGCTGGACAGTCAGGGGGTTTTGGACCTGAGATGGAAGGAGGAACGGAAGGAGGGAGAGAGGGATGGAAGGAGGGAAGGATGATGAGATAGAAAAGTGATAAAATGAATAGATAGAAAAGCGCTCAGCCCATCATAAAGCTTCAAGACTCACCCTGTTTGCTCAGTAATGGAGGTGAGTGACACATGTCTGTCACTTCGCCTCAGACAATTAACTCCAAGCCCTTTGCAATCCCCTGTATTTTCTGTAAAAGCAAAGCAACAAACTACATAATCCGCAGCCCTGATCCCAACACAGTAACCAACAACAACAACAACAATTTACACTTGTTTCACGCCCTTCACGTCGGAAAGACGTCCCCGGGCGCTGGACAGTCAGGGGTTTTTGGACACTTCCAGTTACCTCTGCTTTCTTTGGTCCAGACCGGGTCAACAGCAGATCAGTCTGAAAAGGCGTGTGTTGGTGTGCTCGGGGGAAATATTGCAGGTCTTTATAGAGGACTTAGAAACTGAATGAAAAGAATTGGTTCTGCATAATTAATATGTGCAGATCCAGAGCCTCAGTTAATGAATGGCATTTCTTCGTAACACTGTATTCTGTATTTGTTCCGATCTTGGCGCAAATATTGCAATTAGTTGGATGTAAAAAGACAATTTAGCTGTCACTATGTCTCAATCAACCCCCCCCCACCACCCCCACCCCCCCAACTTTTATTTGAAATTGTCATTTCTCAGAATTGGGGACTGGGTGTCAAAATTGGGGCATGGACTAGTTTGGTGGAACGTCTATGCTGTAAGTTTGTGGAGTCCTGTGGCGTAGTGGTTGGAGAGCTCGCCTCGCAAGCGAGATACCTGGGTTCGAGTTTCGGGCAGGATGAAACCTTTAGGCAAGTTTCCTTACACGTCTGTTTACCTAACAGTAATTAGGAACCCAGTTGTTAGTTGATTGGCGGATCGCTTTCTAGGGGTAATAATCCCTCAACTCAAAAAAAAATGCGCTCGCTCAATCCATGACCATTTGTGGGACGCTGCTGTGCGCAATTGTCCGCCACATTTCACCCAGAGAATACATAGTCACTACACTTTACAGTATAATCTGTGAAGCGCTTTGAAGCACTATGTCAAATGCAAGGATTAGTATTATTTCTGTGTAAAAACGCCTCACCCAGTCTCAGCCAGCTCCGTTCCCTTTGTTCTCAACTCAAGTGCATTGGATTAGAGAATCAAAGGTGAGACTTGAAGCGTTTTACAACACGTTCCATGTGATAATTATCACATAGAAATAAGAATTCTTCACGGCTCTGGTGGGGCTTTGCCGTGCGTTAATTGGCTCCCACGTCATGACAATTGGCAGCAATTCTTTGTGACTTTTCTGATGTTTTAGGTGCTATATCAAATGCAAGGATTAGTATTATCCTAAGAAATCCGCAGTAGTTTGACATACCTGTCTAATCTGAACAACGCATTAAGAAGCAGCATTAATATCGGGACCTTTTCATCTTAAGGTTTAATTTTCTTAATAGTTTTGTTCAAATAGGGAGCGGTGATGATGGCGATATCATTCAAGGAACCTGGCTTGAAAGAGTCACTGAGACTATTAGTATGAGGAGCCCATTCATCATTCCAATCTGCAGGTTACAGCAGCCTCTGTGAAATAACTAACTCCATAGCTGTTCCCAGCTAGTCTCCTGTCCCCTATCCCCCATCCCTGTTCCCCTCCAATGTTGCCAATAGCAGCCAAGATCAAAGAAGTTCCTTGAAAAGCAATGTTAAGAATGAATCATGTTTTTATTGGTAACGGATTTAATAACAATCCTCACATTTC